TTTGGCCAAACTTTAAGTATTTTGATTTCAAAAAATTATAAGCACTAATCATGTCAGTGGGAAAATTCTGTGTTGTAATTCAATTTGCAAATAACTCAAGTCTCATGCATTTTTTTTTAAGCGTGATGTCGCGTCTTATCGATATCGCGGGAATGGCTCTATGTTTATGTGCGTTATCACTTTTTTTATGCAGGTACACGAAGCCCCATGCATGCTTTTTTAAGCTGGTGGGTTATGAAGACCCACGGGCCGCAATATTGAAAGACATTAACTATGCACGCTTTTTTAAGAATGGTAGGAAGGCCTCAGCTCCCTGATGTAGCCCCCTCAACAGGGATGACACCGGGAGGCTGCCTAAATGCTATTAGATTTTTGTCTGAATACCGGCCATAAAAGAGCAACTAAATTGAACTCACTTGGACCAAAATGCAATCAACATGAAAGCTCCTAAGCTACATATCAAAAGTTGAAGTGATTACGTAAGTCATTTTAAAAGACGAAATTAAAAATAAATAAAACTTGAACGGCAAATAGGGGACTCGACGACTCGTCATCGAGCTCGAACGAAACCTGTGAACGGTCCACCTAAACACTTAAATGGGAGTTAAGCATGAGAGAGAAACTTGCATAAGACCCACAAAGGACTCGACAACTCATCAACAAGCTCGAAAAAAACCTTTTGTGAACACACAAACTTACATATAAAATGCAAATGGGGCGTTCAATCGATTAATCAAAGTGATTTAAATCATGCATTATAGTTAAAGAGGGTCCACTTGAGCACTCAAATGGGAGCTAAGCATAAGAGAGAAGCGTAATTCCAAACACACAATTGAAATCTATATTCATCTTAATAGCCACCGGATCAACAACAAGCATCTAAAAGAATACAGAGGGGCAACACCGATGCGCTCGAAGTAAAGGTTTGCACATATTCATCACCAGATACGCAACGCCAAATACACAAACGAACAAAAGGTGATACTAAAAGTTTAAATAAAAATATTCCGTGCAAACAATAATAAATTCCTAAAATTTAATTCAAGCCAACAAGCTTAAACTACCACATGTGCTCTGACCAACATGTTAGGTGCTCAATCACATATCCAAGAATGTCGCACGAAGCAAGCAAATGTTTAAACTAAAATCAAATTTGCCCTAAAAACATGTGCAAGCTATTTAAAAATCAACTCAAGGCAAAAAAATATGAAAACACATGCAAGTGTTTCGACCAACGTGCTAAATGCTCGATCTTATGGTCTGAGAATGTTGCACGGGTTAAAATGTGTATTTGAGCTCAAAATCAAATGTCCCGAAACACATGTAAAGCTATTTAAAATCAATTTCAATTTATAAAATTAAAAGGCCAGAATGTGCTCCGAAGCCTCTAAATATTCAAGCTTATGAGTCTGAGAATGCTAAGCGGGCAATGGTCTGCTTTGCTATAGAGCGAGATCATAAGTCACAAAATTTGGCCAATCCAATCCTCCCCTTTACATGAACTGGAGTTGAGAAGATTGAGCCCCCGCTGAGCGAGTCTGATACTCCTAATGAGGACTGGAGTTGACAGGACTAATGATCTTATTGATATATATAATTCAATCATTCCCCCATATTTTATTGATCAAAGATTTCGACCGAAGGAGCTTCAAAGTCTATTTTGAATTCAATTATTTTAATTACCGAACTCGATCCTCTGTAAGTGGGATAGAGACGACAACAGAGTCCAAAAATAAATAATTCTCCGATGATAGTCATGTTGATCGAAGATTTCAACCGGAGTGGTCTATTTTAAAATTTTTCTTCAAAGTGTATTTTGAATTCAATTAATTCAATTACTAAACCTGATCCTCTGTAAGAAGAACAGTGTCGACAGAGTTTAAAGATATCAATTCTCTATGATGGTCGTGCTGATAGTAAATCTCAACTTGAAGCGTTCATTTATAAAATTAGAATATTTTAAATCATAAAAAGAATATTTAAATAAAAATTTACCACCTAATGCTTAATGCAAAAAATCTTATGACTGTAAGGATGTGGCCCGAGTCCTTTGTCCGCGTGATTCTAGCCACCAAATGACACCACAAAGTAGCGGTTACGATAACAATGATCATTTTGTCATATTGGGTCAACTACCTAAACCCTATAAGGTTCCCTTGGACGAAACAACATATGGCTGCTGACAAGGATCATTTTGTCAGGTTGGGTCAACTACATTCGCTTACTAAAACAGGGTCCATGACAACCCGAAATGACGAAACCATGGAATCCACACGTTTGTCATCGTTTCCCATACCATTCGCTCTAAGCTAATGGTGATTATAATTTTTATAATTTTAGATTTTTAATTTTGTTGCTACGATATGCTAAGTTAGAATACTTAGCACCTAATGATTAGCCTTAATAGAAAGTGCTCTCCCGTTATTGAGAAGGGTATTTAACCATAGGGGCTGCACTTATGGGAAACCTCAAGCCCCAGAGCTTAAAGTCCCCGCAAAAATGAGGGTGAAATCTCTGGGTAGTGTTTTATCTACTCTCTCATATTCCTTCTGAAA